TTTTTTTTTTCAAATAACTATTTCAATGTTTATTTTATGAAAATGACATTTAAAGAGACATTTGTGACATTTTTTTACGAATTTGAAAAAAAATAAATGTTCTTCCACGACCTTCTGGAGCCGTTATCTCGGTTTTAATTAAAAAAAATCTAGATAACGCAATTAACATTTTACAGCGATGCGCATGGTGGAGGTTAATACTGATGAATACTTATATTTAAAAAAAAATAATAGGATATGTTTCACTGATTTTTAGATAAATATAATATTTCATTAAATAAGATAAAATGTTTATAATTTCCAGAAAACTTTATATTACCAGTTTCTGTTATCAAAATTTTAAAAAAAAGTAAATAAAGCACAAATAAGATTGCACAGGGTCATTTACATAAAACTCTACTCCTCTAATTTTTTTACCTTTCTATCTAGGAAGAAATGGTAAAGACCAAAGATTTTGAAAACATTCTTGATATTTCAAAGAAATATATATGTAAAAAACAATTGAATTGTTGCTGAGCATGTTGCATTTCGTGTATAGAAATCTAAGTTGTGTTTTTTAAAGAACACCCTGTATATTGTTGCGTTTTTGAATTCCTTGGAAAGCTAAACATATTTTCTTTACGTGGCCCACATGATTCTAGGCAACTTTTATTAAAACCATTTTTTTATAAATTTTACAACTAAAATATTAATTTTTTTTTCAGGATCCCCGACATTTCTCAAGATGCTCTGTTGCAAGGCCATAAGCGGCAGGTTCCTCACTAAGATCCTCACCTTCGGCATCCTCTGGGCCCTCATCATCTACACCCTCTACCAGTTCAGGTCTTTCTCCATAGACGTACCGGTGCCCCACCTCAACAGCAGGTTCCTCCTCCAGAAGCGGTTGGATCCCCTCACGAGGCACGCGGACAGTACCACGGAGAGCATGGACTTGGAACCGTTCGTGGATAAGAGTCCCAGTTTGTCCGAGGATAACCTTATAGAGGATATCCAGAAGAGGATGCCCAATCTGCCCATAGTGTATTGGAACAAGAACAAGAATAAGCCCATGGGGCTCAACAATACCTGCGCGAGGTCGGTATCGTTGTTTTAGAAAATTTGTTACAAGTTAATGTCTGTATTCAACGTTCAAAGACTTGGAAAATCGCTTATACCTCGAATATGATTTTTTTTTTAGGTTTCCATCGATGTTTGATTTGGAATTCAACAACCTCTACTGGCAAACCCTGCGGACTTCCAACGGGACCTTCCAGTTGTACGGGGCGTACTTAGACAAGAGGGCTAACAACAGACTGGGACCGACCGTCAGGATATTGGGCATGATCGACAGGATAGAACCTACGGTTGTGACGTACTGCCAATTCTGGTTCGACGGGAAGAAGGACCCTGTGATAGGGAAGAGTTTCGAGTATAAATACATATGGTGAGTAGGATCAGGGCATGTTTGTTAAGAGATAGCAGAAGAAAGTCATTGAAATGAGTAGAGATTTAGGTAAATGCAAAATCTGAACCTAAAACGACTTTAATAAATCTTTTAAATGTTTGTGGTGCATTTCGCAAGCCAAACGGCATTCTAAGAAATTTAGATAGGCCAAAAGGTGTTGCAGCTGCTTTATAGACCAGTGCAGGTCTGTCTTGAGGTAGATGTGAGAGAGGGCAAGCAAATTTTTCCTGGGTTACCTTCAGTACAACTCGCATAATAAAAGTGTAGATCCTTAGGTCTGGGCGAGGCCCGGAACATTTTCGAAATTGCAAAAACGTTTAAAATTTTTTTAAAAATACCTACTTTATTTGAGTTTTTTACTTATATCTTGGAACCTATGCATTTTGGGAGAATATTGAAGAGGAAAATAAAAAAGTTTACTGTATACTGTATACTGTAAGTTAAAAATGCTTAAATTTATTACCGATGTTGCAAAATAGCAATAATTGATGAAAAAAAAGCAAATAATAAAATAATACATTTTTTTTTAAATATTTTAATTCTCCGAGGGCATTCCAATTTAATTTAAATTTAATTTAACAAAAAACTAGAGTATTATTAAACAGCACATCAAATTTCATTAAAATCGGTTCCATAGTTTTCGCAAAATAATTTTTTGAAAAAAATTTTGAAAAGAAATTTTCGAATTTTCAAAATGTACAGCTTCAAATAAAGCATCTAGATACTTGAAAATTTTTTCACATAGAAAAGACCGTTCAACCTTCGGTTGATTAGGACGGCCACAGTATGTTTTTAAAGTTAACTCTTTTTTTTATTTTTAAACAATTATATTACATTTATCAATTTGCAATTTAGTTTTTTCAAAAATTATAATTTTAAAGTACTATTTTTTCTTAAGGAGGTTTATCTGATTTGGAATTGACGAACAAATATTCATAAAAAAATTAATATAAGCTTATTAATATGAAGAAAATCATCAAAAAAAAATATATGACTAGTTTGGATACCTAAGACACGAGATATTAATAAAATAAGTCTTATGAGAATGCAGATTTTTTTGGTCTTTCCACTTAGAATGCGCAACAATTGACGAACAGTTTCCACAGCAATTTGTATAAATAGGAAACCGATATCTAAGGAACCGTATGACAGCTTATAGAAATCGATTAGGTACTTGTAAGATACATAATTTATAATAATTCTCCTTCAAACTGCTGTCGTTGACTAACTTATCCTCCATATGCGTGATAGCGGCAACACCGCGGTCTCGATGTAGCGTATTATTTGAAATTCTTAAGTGTTCAAACAAACAGAATGATCGAACGGGAGCGAGCGTACGCCGAACCGAGCGCGCCAGCCAAGTGCAACGTTGCCAAATCTAAAGGCTTACGACTTTAGTCACTAGCGAATCTACAGAAACTTTCGTTAAGACTTTAGACGTACCTCCGTACCCGATAAACCTCCTTAATTTTATCTGTATTTAACAAAAAAAAATAATTTCCGAATTTTTTTAAATTTGTTTAAACAAAGATTAATTAAATAATTGTAATAATTATAACTAAATGCGTTCGTATTCAAAGTGTAGAAATATATACGTAAACAAATTTTTTCGTTGAAAAAATGCAATAGCATAGGATATATACAGTATATTTAATGCATAAACAATAAACTTCGTTGATAACAAAATATGTGCAAATTAGACAGTTGGCATTACGATATTCGAATTCCTTAGCCGGCGAAACATCGGATTAGAAAAAAATGATCGAAATTGGTCCATTAGAAGCCGAGATAATGCAATTTTTCTCGTACCTTCGCATTTTGAACCTGCGAATTCAATCTCGGAGCGAAAGCCCCCTCCCACACTTTGTGTGTTGAGACACACTTCGTGCGTGCGAGCGACAGCTTTTCCGCTGATTTATCTATGTTGCCGATCAAAATTTTTTCCAGCTTAGAACTTGGAAAAACGAAGCAACTGGATCAAAGATTATTGCTAAATTGTTTATAAATTAACGGTAAATGCCGATAAACTTATACTCGAGAACCAATAAACGGAATTTAACTTTTTTTTTCAAAAGAAGCGTCTTTCCGAACAGTTTAAAATTATAATTTTTGAAAAAAACTACATTGCAAAATTGATAAATGTAATGTAATTGTTTAAAAATAAAAAAAAGAGTGTTAACTTTAAAAATTTACTGTGGCCGACCTAATCAACCGATTTCAATTTTTCAAAAACCATTTGAAAGGTTGAGCGGTCTTTTCTATGTGAAAAAATTTTCAAGTGTCTAGATGCTTTATTTGAGGCTGTGCAACATTTTGAAAATTCGAAAATTTTTTTTCAAAATGTACTATACGAAAACGATAGAATCAATTTTAATAAAATTTGGTGTGTTGTTTCATTATACTCTAAAGTTTTTTTTACCAAAATTAGAATGCCCTCGAAAAAATTAAAATATTTTAAAAAAATTATCCAAAAAACTTGATGATTTAGCCTTTTTTTCATAAATTATTGCTATTTTGCAACATCGGTAATAAATTTAAACATTTTTAGCCTACAGTATATTGTGCAAAATTCAATTCTAAAACTTTTTTTCACTTCAATATTCTTCCAAAATGCATAGGTTCCAAGATATAAGTAAAAAACTCGGATAAAACATTTTTGCAATTTTGAAAATGTTCCGGACCTCGCCCAGATCTAGGGATCTATACTTTTATTATGTGAGCTGTACTGAAGGTATTCCAGCAAAAATTAGCTTGCCCCCTCTTAGATTCCAGAAGTGGGATATTTCGATAGCAACATTAAAAATACTTTCATGGCTGTGATTACTTTCTATCAGTCTATATCTTTTCTAAAAGAGTTAAAATAATGTTTTTCTTGATCAATACTTTCATTTAATGGACAATTACATAAAAGTTGCCCTGGAAACGTTGGAAAAAACGAAATTAAACTAACGGAGGGTAGTAGCGCTTTGAAAACCTTTCAATTTTTATCTAAATGTTCCATTATCCCGCAGGTACAAAAAATGGGGCAACTACAAGCAAGGCATCTACCAACCGTACCTCATCGCCTGCGTCATCCCTCAAAAGTTCCGCGACCACATCCCGCAGTCCATCTCCCTGGTGGAGAAACAGTGTGACAACTCCACCAACAATTTGAGGGTCATCTACGAACGACCGATAGAGAAAAAAGACTTTGCCGTGTGCGTTAAGGGACTGGATTTCTTACATGAAGACTTGTCGGTGAGATTAGTCGAGTGGATCGAGCTGTTGAACTTATTAGGGGCCGATAAGGTCTTCTTCTACGAGTTGCAAGTGCATCCGAATATTAGCAAGGTTTTGAGGCACTATGAGACCGAAGGAAAGGTAAGCAATTGTTTTATTCTCTGTCGAGATGACACTTGAGCGGAGACCCATTAATTTCCGTTTTTGTATATTAGACCAAGCAAATTAAATTTTTAATCGAAAAATGTTCTATCCATGAGATTATTGTAAAATTGTCTAAAGGAACATAATACAAGACATCTCTCATTTCGTGAGTCAAAAACTTTTATTAGCTAACTTTTCTATTTAAACGAATACGTGAGGAAAACAGTTTTTTCACTTTGCAGGGAAAACCATCAATTTTAGTGAAACGTGACTCACAGACAGCTTGTAGGGAGTAAAATTATCTACAAAATGAGACTTGTTAAATTAAAATCGGTTAATAAACAAAAAAGTTATTGCAAAAAACAAGAAAAGTGCCCATTTTTTAATTTGTTTATAACTATCGCATTTATTGTTAAAATTTTATAAAACCTATGACAAGTTGAGGGTTTTGTCATACTTTAAAAGTGTGCCAAAAGTGGGCGCTGTAGGTGCAATAGTTTTCGCACAATTCTATTTGTTTATAGCGGAGGCTCCAAAAGTTATGAACTTTAAGCCTCTGTACAGGCGTTAATTTTCAACCAAACATGATTCTGAAAGCGTCATTGTAATCTTAAAGACGTAATTAAGCGACCTATTAAAAAATATCACCGTTTTTTTGACATTAACATTCTCAAATTGTGCATTAAAAAACCGTGCGTTTTTCGCTTATAAACAATTTGAATAACATTGTTGCTATTTATGCTATCTCACCGAAAATAGATGCAATGGATAGCTGGCAAAAAAATACAGTTTTAAAATAAAAAAAGTACCCTCTACGACCAACAGGAGCCAAGATAAGAATTTTTTTAAAAAATCGTAGCGCAATTGTTTATAAATATTAAGACTTGAATTTTTCGCAAAATAAAGTTTACGACGTAAACTACGATTTCCCGTGAATTGCATTGAAAAATGTGGAAAATTAACGACTCACGAGCCCTTTAAAGAGAAGGTACTCGCTAAGTAAACTGTCCGGCGGCCGGCGGCGTGGTGGTGGGGGAAGCTCGTCCAAGCGGTAGCGCTGGCGAGAAAAGTTAAATCCAAAGTTTAAATAGGTGCGCGCTCTAAATTTTGCTATATCTCGGCTTCTATTCATCGTAGAAACTTATTTTTTTTTTAAACTGGGGTAGCTCGACGAAAAAATAACAATGGGCATATTTACGAATTCGTAGAATAGCCCTGAACCCCAGAAAAAATGCATCTTTTATACTTAATTTTTTTTAATTTACAAAAATGTCACAAAAATTATTGTTAAACGAAATATTAATTAAAATTTCAATTTCGGAATTATTTTACTATTATTAAATAAATAAATGAAGCTATCGTTCATTTAAAAAGTTATTTTTTTTACATATTAAGGCAAAGTAAACTTGTTTTTTCAATATTTTGTTAGCTATTTAATTACGATTTAAATGTAAAATTAAAGTAAAAATTCATAAATTATTTTCAAATTATTATTTCTTATAAAAATAGAAAAATTTTTAAATTTTAAATTGTATTATAGTGCATATCTGTAATTGAAAATAGTTGTGATTAATATTTTTTTAATTAATTTTGATTATGTTGCAAAAAATTTTTTGTATTAAATTAGTAATAAATATAAGAAAAACTTTATATGTATATTAAAATTTCAAGAAGTTAAAATTGTAATTTTATCGACCGCATTATTTTTATTAATGTTTTTTAATTTTGAGAATTTTCCAATAAATTCAAATGCTTTTTATTCTTTTTTAAATCTTTTAACTATAAATAATAATTTGAAAATAATTTGTGAATTTTTACTTTAATTTTACATTTATATCGTAATTAAATAACTAACCAAATATTGAAAAAACAAGTTTACTTTGCCTTAATATGTAAAAGAAATAACTTTTTAAATGAACGATAGTTTCATTTATTTTTTTTTGATAATAGTAAAATAATTCCGAAATTGAAATTTTAATTAATATTTTGTTTAACAATAATTTTTGACATTATTGTAAATTAAAAAAATTCAGTATAAAAGATGCATTTTTTCTGGTGTTCAGGGCTATTCTACGAATTCGTAAATATGTCCATTGTTATTTCTTCGTCGAGCTATCCCAGTTTTGAAAAAATAATAAGTTTCTATGATGAATAGAAGCCGAGATATTGCAAAATTTACAGCGCGCATCAATTTGAACTTTGGAATTAACTTTTCTCGCGCGCGCGACTCGCTTGGACGAGCTTCCCCCATCACCACGCCGGACAGTTTACTTATCAAGTACCTACTCATTAAAGGGCTCGTGAGTCGTTAATTTTCCACATTTTTCAATGCAATTCACGGGAAATCGTAGTTTACGTCGTAAACTTTATTTTGCGAAAAATTCAAGTCTTAATGTTTATAAACAAATGCGCTACGATTAAAAAAAAAATTCTTATCTTGGCTCCTGTTGGTCGTAGGTGTTTTTTTTTAAATTTGTATTTCTTTGCCAGCTATCCATTGCATCTATTTTCGGTGAGGTAGCATAAATAGCAACAATTTTATTCACATTGTTTATAAGCGAAAAACGGTTTTTTAATGCACAATTTGAGAATGTCAAAAAAACGATATTTTTTAATAGGTCGCTTAATTACGTCTTTAAGATTACAATGACGCTTTCAGAATCATGTTTGGTTGAAAATTAAAGTCTGTACAGAGGCTTAAAGTTCATAACTTTTGGAGCCTCCGTTATAAACAAATAGAATTGTGCGAAAACTATTGCACCTACAGCGCCCACTTTTGGCACACTTTTAAAGTATGACAAAACCCTCAACTTGTCATAGGTTTTATAAAATTTTAACAATAAATGCGATAGTTATAAACAAATTAAAAAATGGGCACTTTTCAATTTGTTTATAACTATCGCATTTATTGTTAAAATTTTATAAAACCTATGACAAGTTGAG